TGCCCTTTTCACCTGCAGTTTGCAGATGCACTGTCGGGGGAAGAAGAATACTCCTCATTTTAAGCGAAGAAACTGAACAATACAGAGGTAAATTTAAGGCAAAGCTCAACAGTCTTAAAAACATAGAAGTGAATTTGTAGTTGGGACTATGTCCCATGACAAAAATGTGACTCTCTTTCCTATTCCCTCTGAGTCTTGTACAGATGATTTTTGCTGTCCTTAGATAAAAGCCTTTCAGTCAAGATTATATTCAAGAGGAAAGAAGCCAAGGTGTTAATAGAGTAGTGGGATTATGGGCAATTATTTTCTTTTATAAATTTTCAAATTTCATGAAGTGAACATTTTAGAGTTTGAAAACAACCATTATTTAAACTTAAAACCCCACAATATTATAAACACAGTTAAAGTGTAGCCAATTTGTATTTGTAATGTTTTATTCACAGATAGAATTGTAGTGTTATAGAAGGCTGGCCTTGAGGAATCTAGATTTCATCTGCATGAGAAAAATCATGTTACTTTCTCATGTTTTATCATTAAAAAGGAATAAGGAGGAAGGAGACAAAATAATCATTTAGAGAAGACAGAAGATGCTCAGAAGAAAGATGTTTGGTAAGAGATGACCTCAGGCTTGGTCTCTAGGGACAGAAACTTCAAACACTCCCACTGCAAACAACAACAAAACCCCAAAAGAGCACAGCCTATATGATCCATTCCATTTCCAACCACTATACTTAACGTCACTTTTTTCCCCTTTTAATTGAAAGAGCTCATCTGGGAATCTGCCCTCTGAAGGAGGCAGGGAATACACAAAAGATAAAGTATGGGACAGAGACTCTCAGGAGTTCCCCTAAATCTGGAGTCCTTTCTCTCCTGAGAATACAAACTACATTTCCCAGCCTCCCTTGCAGTTAGGTGTGACTACGTGACCAGGATATGGCCAATGGGTCTGAGCAGAGGTAAGCTCCTCTTCCAGGCTTGGACTGTAAGAACCAACCTGTGTGAGCTCCCTTTGTCTTTTCCCAGCTGTTGTCTGAATAAAGAGGCTCCTGCAAGGACATGGAGGAGAGAGGAGCCACAGGATGGCAGGAGCCTGGGTCCTTGATTAAGCACATGGCAAGAAGTCTGCAGGGCCAGGAAAACCTGCAGAGCCTTTGACATGAGCAGGAAATAAACAACATTCAGGGTTTATATGTTACAGCAGGGAGTGTTACTCTAATGCTAAGCCTGAAGCCTGAAACAATGTTTGGGAATTGGTTAGAGAATTTCTAATATGGGATGAATCCTCACAATAAATTATATCCTACTCTTTCTCTCATTGTCTTTTCTGGGAACAAACACCCAAACACCAACATGCCCTGTGCTTGCAGTCTGAATTCAATCTGGCCCTGGCTTGGAGGCTCCACTTTGAAACCCTGGTCCTCAGCTTAAGGTCTGTTCTGTCTGTTTTTCATGCTGGACGGATCAGGTCAACCGTCACAAACCTCTCCAGGGGTAGTAACAGTCTTTTGGGGTGAGGAATGAGATCAGCTTTGTAACTGAACAAAGTGTGGAAGAAGCAAAGACTGCTTCTGCGACTCTCTAAGACAAAATATAAAGTGGTGCAACCACAACTGACAGCAGGCAGGGCACAGCTGTTTTAAAAGAAATGATGTATAGCTGATGTAAATTTACTGCATTCTCAAAACCCTCTGGGCAGAAACCATCAAGGCAGGACAGCATGGTCACTACTAGAACATCAATCTTCTTGACATAGAAGATGGGTGCCCCATGGTTCTCCAAATGGCCGTGATCACTTATCTTACCAGCTGCAAAATCTTAAATCAATACCACTGGAAAAAAAAAATGCACAACCATCCTGGCCCAGATCTTGATCATATCTTATTATCACTGGGAACTTCTCACCCACCCATTCTTTAGTTTTACTGGTAATGTGTTACACGTCAGGTAACTTTTTATAACAGCCCCCACAAGGGATTTTATAATTTGTTATTTAAAAAGTTATGCACGTTCATTGTATAAATTTTGGAAATACAAACAGCCTAAGAAAATGACTTGCTGTCTTATCACTGAGAGAGAAATAACCTATTTTTAGAAAACATTTTACAAATGCTTATTTTTAGTAGTTTGTCTTTTTTGCCTTTTGTATAAAAGAGCATGTTTCTTTGACTTCTTTCCTCTTTTGTGGTGATTTATAATATACATGCTCTTTTTAATGTATTGATGTTTAAATTTTTTAAAAATTGAGTTTATTTTCTCAATTATCAATGTGAAGAATGAAATCTGATCTGTTATTAGCTAAAAAATTAGCATACTTCCTTTTTTCTTCCCGATTACCAGTTTTTATTACTGTCATCTGATTTCATAGCCTCATTATTTTATATATAACTTCTATTTCAATAATTAATTTTGACATCTGTACTAGTATAACTAAATTGACAACAGTTACTTGGATACATTATCACTGTTTTTTAAAAAATTATATCCTCCCTATTTGGGGTTTTTTGTCTTGATACAGCTGTTATCTAGCTGAAGAGGCTCTTTGGACATTTTTTTCCGGAAAGGGCATGTGAGAGGTCTACCCACATAATGAAGTATTATATATCTGAGAACATCTGTCTATGTTTCAATCACATATGTGGCTTTGCATATGAATGACAACTTGGGTCATGAGCTGTGGATCCCATAGGCCTCCCACCACTGACTTCTGGCTTGTAGTTAATGAAAAAAAACTGAAGCTAGATTTACTATATTCCTTTGTAATCTGTTTTTATGTTCACCTCAGTGCTCAGAAGACCTTTTCTTTGCAATGAGAACTGGTTAAATTACACTGAAGGTAATGCTTTCAATCTTAAGGACAAGTCTTTTTCAGCTGAAGAAAGTTCTCTTTAATGATCTTTGATGATTCTATCAGACTTAGTTTGTTTTCTTTTTTCCTTTTGGAATTATCTGTATATTGGATCACCTGGTTCTTTTTTCCTTTTTTCCTCATTATTTTTGTCTTTGAGTCCTGAATTTTGGGAGAAATTTCCCAGCCCATTTAAAAAAAATTACTGATTTGATTTATTGTGAAAGCTAATCTTCTGTCTTCTGCTCATTAGTGCATTGTGGATTTAAAATTGGTCACCAACAAAACTAAAAAAAAAAAAAAAAAAGGAAAAATAAAATTGGTCACCATATTCTGTCACCTCTTTGCAGCTGTTTGTTTCATAGATGAGATGTCAGCTTCAGTCTTGCAGACATAAATTAGATTATTCAATATCTTTACCCATTTCTTAGGAATAGAGGCATTCGCTGAAATTCCTTAAGAACTCTTCTCATATGATGAAATCCTTTCTTGTGGCCAGCAATGTCTTGCATCGTCATCTTTACAGAGAACAGTCTGCTTTCATGTAGCATGATGGGGAGTTAAGGTGGGTTCCATCAGAGACAGTGGCCCTAGTCAATATTGTGGGCCCAGATAAAGACAGAAAAGGGGAAGTTTAATTGTAGTACCTTCAAATACCTAAGAAATCTATTTGGTAGAAGCAGGAGACAACGTACGCAGCAAAGAGTTTTCTCTTTTCTCCAGTGTTTTCCAGACAGTCGTGCCATGCCAAGAGTGAGACGCCTGAGTCTGTCACTTATTGTGGCCTTGACTGTGTCCTTTATTGAGGCGCTGACAGGATCCAGATGGCCTGCCCTCACCCTGATGCCTTGGCTTTCCAAGGTTGGGCTACTTGGATGATTCTGCTGCTGACAATCCTGCCTTCCAGAGGATTGGTTGTTGGACTGGGGTAAGGGAGCTGCCACCGAAGCATGTTCACTGGCAGAAATTCTTCAGAGTTTCTGGTACTGATAGGCATTTAGAAACAGTTTCATATTTCACTGATCATTTCAATGAGTGTCCAGGGGTGGACTGGGCAAAGGGAGGAATAAATGTGGTATGTTCTAGTGTTCCTTTAATTTCCCCAGAAACCCTTTTCTTATGGATATTTTCTACGTTATATGCCCACATGGTGACCAATATAACAATGCCTCCCCACCCCGACCAACCACTTAAAAAGTTTTTCCAGGAGGCTATTTTAAAAACAAGTGCATTCGCAGTTCTCCCTATGGGAATCCCCGGCAAAGCATCAGCTCGTATTTTTGCATACTCAGAGTGGACTGATTTTCATTGGTGGATATTTGAGTCTTCCCCGGACAATATCCCCCAGAGCTGCAACCCCCTCCATTGCTCCAAGGTTTGCCAGGATTCCCAGTGAGGAAAACTCAATGCCAATATTCCTGCCATATTCCAATATTCCTGCCAATATTTCTTCCATGATCTAAAGGCTCTGCCTCATAAAAAAGTTGGGAATTCCTGGTTTAAATCCCCCAGGGCAAAGTGTAAACCAAACAACTTGGAACTCTGCTCTTAAAAGAAGAAATGTTAGGGACTTTCAGAAACACCAGGGTCATTTTACCTCCAAATAGTTTCTCCGATCCATACTGATTCAGAAGCAAAGACCTCATAGTTCCATGAAAAATTTGTTTTCCCTCAAAATTAAAATAAATGAAGCCCTAAGGGTCTCATTTCACAAAATTCTCTCTAACCCAGTAGTGAAATATCAAAGAATTGGAAGTACTCACAGCTAACTTTCTCCCCAGTCAGGGCCCTGCATATGGTGTCCCTACGTGGGGGCACCCAGCCTGTTCTCCACTCTTCCAGTACTCAGGGGCTCAGTCTCTAAGGTAGTACTAAGTACTACTGCCCCAAATAGAATGTGCTGCCTTAGTATTGGCATTCTATTTGGGGCAGGTTATTGTTAGGAGGTGCTTTCTTAAACCACATTGAAATCTGCCTCCCAGAAACCTCTGTGTATTGTTTTGAATTCCATCCTTGGAAGCCACAGAAAATAAGTCTCCCTTTCTAGACAGCAGTCCTTTCCCATTTCTGCAGTCAGCCACTAAACCTCTGGGTCTTTGTGGTTCCAAACTCCCCTTGACATCTAGCATCCAAGATAGCTCCCAATTATCTATACCTCCTGGTATCCACAACTTTGATAAGTCCCCTCCCATATTGTCTCAGGGCTGGTCTGTGTGACCAGTGGAATGGAATGGGATGTGACTTCAGAGACTAGGTCATAAAAGGCACTATAACTTCTGCCTTGTTCTCTTTGTCTCTCTCTCTCTTGGATTGCTCACTCTGGGGGAAGCTAGTTGCTAGGTCATTGGGACACACAGTGGAGAAGTCCATGGGAAAGACTGAGGCCTCCCACCAACAGCTGTAAGAGAGCCATTCTACAACCCCACTCAAGCCTTCAGATGACATCGTAGCCCCAGTTGCCATCTTGCCACAGCAACCACAATGAGAGACCCTGACCCAGAACCTCCCAGCAAAGCCACTTCTAATTTCCTCTCAGACCCTGTGTGAGATAATAAATGTTTATTGCTTTAAGCTGCTAAATTTTAATTTGTTATATAGTAATAAATAACACACACTTCAAGTTTCTATAAGTATTCTTTAAGCAAGAAAGCCTGCAAACCTCTTACCTCAGGAAAAGTGCTGATTCTTTTTTAGTGCTTTTCTTAAAATAGTCTACTATAGAGTAATGGTGACAACAACAATAACCACAAAACACATTTACCAAATACTTTGGATGCTGGCCTTTGTGCTAAGAGTTTTAGACTTCCTAAGCTAATTCTTATAAAAGCCCTGTGATACAGGTTCTATTAGTCTATCCATTTTACAGATGAGGAATACAGGTTTAGAGAGGTTAAAAGCCTCACCTAAAGATGTAGGGCTAGGAAGAGGCAGAAGGGAAGTCCAAAAACAGGCAGTGTGACCTTAGAGCCCTAGCTCTAAAGCTCTGGGTTACAGGAACAGAGTACAGTAGGAAAACCATCTCCCATGACCTGATTTCTAGATTGATATAACTTAATTCTCCATCAATTTTGCTGGTAGTCCTGGAATGCTGTTGGATTATACAAGCCTGTGGTCAACTAAGGCCTCTGAGTGTTTCTCCACTTAAACTACGGTCAAATTTGGCCTCATATCTTCCTAATTAAATCATTATTCTTAACCTAAATACTAACTGTTATTATAAATGTGTCACTGTTCAGTTTAACTTGGTTGGTTGGCTGTGATCCAGTGCTTTGGCTCAAAACTTTTTTTTTCCTCTCGAGTCTTTTTTCTGTCATCCAATACTTCAGCTGTCATTCTGGGCACTGTGTCGTCTCTAAATTTTATAAACTTTGCCTTACATGTCTTCCTTTGATTTGTTGATAAAATTCTCAACAGGAAAGAAGGATAAAGCCTTCTGGCACACCCAGGAGGCCCCCTTCCAGGTTAATATGAATACATCAACATATGTTTTCTGAAGATGACCTAAAAACATCCTGCCCTTCCCAAAAGCTCATAGGTGAACCCATGCCAGGTATGCTTGGGGGTCTACTCATTCAAAGAGGTCACTGGCATTGTTCCAACTCACCAACTAGCCAACTCTGAACTCTTGTAACTCATATTTTTCCATTTTGTCCAACTCAATACTTTGATTTTGTTACGTGCCTTGCTGAACTCAACTTGTATTCTTTCATACAGCTTTATCCTGGTGGCACTTCCCTCATCAGTCTAACAATGCTAAAAACGAAGTAAAGTTAATCTGCTGTGACTCATTTTGATGGATTTACTCAAGGGCCTAGGTTTTCATTCTCTATTTGCTGTCATAAATTGGTCTAATGTTTTCCTAGGAGTGTGAAGTTTTATCATCTACATTCTAAACAATCTTCAGGCATTTTTTATATCTTGTAAGTCAGAAACGTATTTATCTTTCTCCGTTCTCTGAGAAATTTTTACATTTGCTGCGATTTCTTAAAAATCACCAACAAGAATGGAAGGGATGGAGTGATTTTTGCTACAGGGTTCTCAGTACATTGAGGTAAAATTCGTCTGTATCCTTGAATAGTAAATTCATCTGTAGTATTAGGTGGTCTTTTACTGAGATCCTTACTCAACCTTCTATTTCATATTTACCATGTTTGCTTTATTCCTTTTGGCAGAAAATATAAAGGCAAAATTATGTCAATAATGGTCTTTTCCTGGTTCTGCACTAACCTTTTCTGCCTGCCACAAGAGTTGGACTTATTCCTTCCTTTTTCACCTGTCTGTTCCCGAAGTCAGCTTTAGAAAGCCACTGGTTTTGTGTGTGGCCAATAGCCATGTGGGCAACTCTAGTTCCTCTGTCCTTCAGTTTTCCTGACACTCTCATAAACACCTGCCACCTAGGAGGCATCAACATGCTTGTTCACTCAGCAAAGTGCCCTTCCATTCTATCCTTTGTCACCTGTGGGCATGTCCTTCTTTTGATGTTCTTGCATAACTTACTAGATTATGTATTAGAGAATTCCTTCTGCAGCCACGCTTGGGTTCTTTACGGTCTCTCTCCCCTTTACTTTCTCATGTACCTTCCAACTACAAACTCAGAACTATATGAGCCTCTCAACTGGCCTGGCCATATTCCCTTTCAGAATCATGCTTGTGGGATCACATCTGTTTTTTTTCCTGAATTTTTGGACACTCTGATTGCCTGAAGTTGAACTATGCCTATAGTTTCCTTCTCTCACTGCTATAAACCTTAGCATGGCACATGTAGATACCAACTTGTTACCCTTTCTGGTCAAGACTGCATTTACAGAAGCAGGTGTCCCTGTTGTCTTCTTTCTTTTCTGAGTAATACATAACCCACAGGCATGTAAAGAATTTTTCAGGTGTTCCATTTGTGGTATGCTGAGATTTCCAGAAAATGTACCCATCTGAAGTTTGCTGTCAAACCACATTCTATCCTTATGACTACTTTGTCATCAGGGTCCAGACAATATTAATTTCTTAGATAAACCATCTATCCACAGAATTGATCTTGATGACATGACTTTTGATATTCCCTTTATTTTTTCTTGAAACAACTGTCCATGTTATTATTGAGCCCATTTGTTTATTTGGGGCTGCCAGGCAAACATTTATCTACTTCCTAACAGCACTCAGGTTTTTTTTTTTTTTTAGGGAATTACCTCTTCCGCTACAGGTTTACACTGGCTTATACCATGATCAGATGTGCTACCTGCCCTTTTATCCTCTCTACCTAAAATATGAATCTTGATAAGACAGACAAAAAGATAATGCTGGTGGAATTCATGTATTATAACTGGGCATGTTGAGCACAATTTCTGTTCTGAGATGGAATCTGTCATTCCTGATTCCTGGCTTCCTGGAGTCATCTGGGTTACTGTTCTTTTCTAAGTGTGATTCTCCAGCTTTCCTATAGATTCTGTGTGCTCCCAACAGCCTTCCAACAAGGTTGCTTTTGTTGAATTTAGTTGGAATTGATTGCTGCAACCAAAGAACCCTAGTTGATGTATTTGGAACAAGGTCTGTTTTTCAACTGACTTCCTATAAGGCTATTCCTTCTTACCAGCTCTCCAATGCCCACAGGATCATGGAATCACCCATTCAACTCACTGCAACCATTCATTTACTTCAGTTTTCCAAAAACATGTCTTCAACAAGCCCGCAGGCAGAAACTGAATTAAAATGTCAAGTTTCATCTATTCACTGACCCCAAAGCAAGCTGTAAGTCTATAGTTAGCCAAGGTGGTTAAGTATTGTTTATAACAATGCCGTGTTCTGTATCTGTAGCCTTCCCGCTCTTCCTTCTTCCCTCAAGCTCACCTTTCCTAAATTGATACACACACCTTCACAGTCCTTTTTAATGTTTTGTGAAATTAAAAAATAAATCCAGTATCACCTCTGAGGACTGAGAATCAATCCAAAGGAACTGAGCACTGCTTAGTTTTCAGACCACCCCTGCTACCCTTCCATAGCTTCTGGCTTGACCATTTTGAGTCTTTTTTTCTCTCCTCACAATTTCGGCTTGGGTATACTGATTGGCTCAGGGCTTCTTTGCCATACATGTACCTACTTAATTCCCTGCCTTTGTGTGCTATGACGACATCATAGCTGAAATTGTATTTATAGATTACGTTTATGCAGGCAACCACCCCACTCTGGTGGCGATCTGTGTTGGCCCTTCTCCATCAAGTCTCAGATGAACAGTCAAGAAAGACTGGATACTTACTAATTGGCTACATCAGGGGCAACACTGTATCCTTCAGCAGGAAGTCACCATTCACAATCATATTACCTCCTCCTGGAACTGAGGACTCTTCTACACTCCCAGGTGCCAAGCTGATGGCATTTGAAAGGCAAAAGCTCACAAAGTATTTACCTTAACTACAATGCCCTGAACATATTTTTCCTAGCCTGCTACATTAGAAAGTCATCACTTTCTACTGCCCACTGGAGTGGACCTTCTCTCACCTACCACTTGTGACACTCTTCTTGCAGATGGAGGTCTATTTTTTGCCTGCAGCCAATGTGGCAAAAATGACCTCTGTAGTCTTAGGTGGGGAAACAATGAATATTCTGACCTATTCCACAGTGGCCTTTAAGGGACAAAGGGCACAGAGAACAAAGGCAGGATTTTTTTTTTTTTTTTTTTTTTTTTTGAGACGAAGTTTCGCTCTTGTTACCCAGGCTGGTGTGCAATGGCGCGATCTCGGCTCACCGCAACCTCCGCCTCCTGGGTTCAGGCAATTCTCCTGCCTCAGCCTCCTGAGTAGCTAGGATTGCAGGCACGCGCCACCATGCCCAGCTAATTTTTTGTATCTTTAGTAGAGATGGGGTTTCACCATGTTGACCAGGATGGTCTCGATCTCTTGACCTCGTGATCCACCCGCCTCGGCCTCCCAAAGTGCTGGGATTACAGGCATGAGCCACCGCGCCCGGCCAAGGCAGGATATTTTGCCTCCTTCCAGCCGTGTCTAAGTACCTCTAAGGTATACTCCTCATGGTTGTATAAGACTTCAACCACAAACACCTAACTAAGCTGTCTCTTAAAAATATCTAAGCAAATTCCAACAAGATCCTTACAATTTCAGCCCCCGCCTTTATTCATTTCTTGTGTTTTTGTTTGTTTGTTTGTTGTTGTTGCCATTTTTTTTTTTTTTTTTTTTTTGAGACAGGGTGTCACTTTGTTGCCTAGG